GTTTATCATAAGCCCTTGTACTGTATAAAGAGTATTTCCTTTTACAGAGTTGAAACAAGCCCAAAATAAAATAAATTAAAAAAAATAATTTAAAGAGTGAGACAATAAGCCACACGTTTGTCACACCACTCACTTCTGAAAAGTGCTCAGACATCGAAATGATGGGAGGCATAAGATTGTGAACAGAGTGGAAAATGGCTGAGGGAAGGCAAGGCAGTAGCATGGATTAGTAAAGACAGAAACTGAATTTGGGTATTTGACATGGGAAGGTATGGGAGCTCTTAACAGGGAGACCTTTAACAAAGCAAACCAGTGTCACAAAATGTCAGAAAAAATCACCTGAAGCCTACCCAGGGGGCTAAACAGACAGTGTACCTTGAGAAAGAGGAATGACTTAAGAGAGACAGACAGGAAGGTTTAATATGTATTCATCTTGGACTTGTGTTGCTATCAGGTAGGAAAAAAGTTTTATATATATATGGCTGAAAGATTAAACCTGAAATTGTGTACATAAAGCCTTCTTATGAAACTACCTTAAAAGGGCAAAATACATACACATACATATATATACACACTTCATACTGCAATACTCCATGGTGTAGAATTATTCAACAAGTAGCACCATGATCACTCACTCTCATTTCTTGGAGATGACATGTATTGTGTTTTTCTCCAAGATATTTTGTGAGCTCTTTATGATTCTCCTATGTCATTTTCTTAGAACAAGCTAAATTTTGCTTCATGCACAGCCTGTAGCTGATGGAGATCGTTTTACAAAATCTCCCTTTTGTCTCAGTAAGGAATGAGGCTCATGTTAGCATACAAATTTTGTAGACAGATGGACAGTTTCAAGTGGAGTTAAAACCAGCAGTACTCCTGATTTATGTTGCCTTAAGCCTATCTGACTAAAGCCTGGGTTTCTCTAATTTTTATTCAACTGTTTCTGGACCTAAATGGCTGTTATGACAAACAGGGATAGCTGGAAAACAGCAGAACATGAGCTATGCCCAGTTTCTAGGCACTGGCAGTCCCATGGTTAAGAGAGTGGAGAGCTATGGTAGTGCTTGCGGTCACTTCTTCCACCTCCCCACTTGGGAAGAATTCTCACTCAGCTCATTACAGGCTCTTTTATTTTCACAATAGGAAGAAAAGCATGAAAATGAATTGGATTCAACCTATTTTTATAACATTTGTTTTTCTCCTCTCTACTTCTCATTTTACTTTAGAGATCTCAGTTCTGACCAGTCCCTAGGGATGATTCCAAAGGAAGGAGTATCAACTGTTAATGCACAGATTATTTGAAGCAGCTGATAATTTTATTTAAACAGAAGGAAAGCAAAATAAAAGACAACAGATAAACTTCTAAATATAACACCTCCACATGATGTTGTACAGTATAAGGTATACCTGATGAACATGAATGATGAACAAACAAGATCCACCTAACTGGAAATAAAAAGCTAGGTTTAACACTGGAACAATCCCACCACAGGAACACTATCAAGTTTTCAGACCAAGCATCCCTGCAAGTATTAGTAGAATCCCTGTTTTTCATCTACATATATTACTTCCAGTCATTTTGCCCTGATAGAGTATGGCAATGTTTAAAGGAGAGTTTAGACAGATGAAGAAACTTTAAATAGTGAAAGAGAATAGGACACTTGCTTTACAGGTTAGAGAAATGGGCTCATGCAGCAAAATTCACACCAGGGATAGATTTCAGTTTCCAGTTGTCCTAAAATAACATGCATACCCCATGTCCAATGTTTGTAAACACGGAACGACTGTCTTCCTTAGATATCCACCAACTACAAAATATAACATAAGCTTAAAGTGAAGATTTTGAAGATTTCTTGGGGAAAAATCCAGCACTCTTAAAAGCTTAAATATAGTGCTATTTTAAATAAACTTGACAATGTGCTGAAACCAATACTGCCCTAAAGAGAATGCAGAGATGATCATGAAGCCAAGTCACAAAGCAAAGCATGGATGAATTCTTAAGGAGGTGCTAGGTCCTGCCACTTTCATCAAGACTAGCATATAACATTTTGAAAGCAGATCTACTGAAGCAGTCAGTGTTTTTACTGACTTCATTATTACTAGAAGAACAGAACTTGTACCTGAAGATACAGAATTCTTCCATATTGAAGTAATAAAAATTGAGAGATTGTAGCTGGCTTTTATGGAAGATAATACGCTTACAGTCTTCTGCTTAGTTCTTTTTGACACAGAAGGGAATATATGGCATGACCAAACATTAAAAGAATATTTATAAAAAGAATTTTATTATCAAACAGTGTGTACTCAAAAGAGAGAATTCACCAGGTTTCAAAGAATGATGATGCAGAATACAGGGGTCTGGAGAATATAATTTACAATATAATTAAAGCTTTAGTGTCTTGAGCACTCAACATACTGCCAAAATCAGTATTTTTGAAATACTGATAAATAATCAGGGACTGTGATGACACCAGTGGAAAATTCAGGAAACAGATCACAGTTGTGATGAAAGCTGTAACTTATGGTAGATTGATTTGCCTCTGTTGGAAGAGGAATGACTCTCAACAGAAAAATTATGCCCTAAAAACTATGGCTGAAAAGTAACAGAAGCAGGGAAGCATAGCCTAGAAGTAGTTTCTTTGAACATGCAGGAACAATTACAGAGTAGAAAGGGAAATCCATCAAATTTAAATTCCTTTTCTTTCCATTCCCATATTGCTCATCCCTGACTTTCCCATCTGGTAGGAAAAATTGCTAAGGCACAAGAGCAAATACAATACAGTTTGCACACAACTATCTTGAAAGAACCTACAGCTCAAGACTCCAGCTTGAAACAAGAGCTCAGTCCATCACACAGCAACTCTAGATAACCTTCAGTGAGCTTCATGTACTGTATGGAAATCTCCAAGGGCAATAATAGCCTTGTTACCTTCTACCCATGTTACACTTGTCCTCCAAAGGCAATAGCCTTGTTACTTTCTACCTGCATTACAATGGAGGTTGACCAGTTTTTAATCTACTTCACACAAACCTTAATGAGAGATAGCCAAAGTTAATGAAGTTACACTGGCTGTATACAGCAGTGCAAGCAGCAGCAAAATCAAGTTCTAGATGACCAAGAAAATCTCAGGAGTGTCTATAGGAGCACCATATGCTTTCTTAAGAAAAAAAGGTTACCTGGAGTTTAAATAGCCTTCATATATACAGCACAGTTCTACAGAAAGGCCACAAATCAAGAACGTTTTAGCCTTTTAGTCAAGTTTTCCCCAATGTACTTAACAGATTAAACAAGTGTAATAGAAAGAAATAGAGGTTAGACAATTTTTCTGCAACTCCAGAATTTTTAGCAATATTGTTACTACACAGTACTCTTAATGTTGGAAAACTGCAGAGTTACAAAGTGCTGAAATATTTGGAGGACACAAGTTTCTTTCAGATTAATTAAAAAAAACTCATCTACCTGACTAAATGGAGACATTTAAGAGGGAAAAATGTAGGAAAGGCAAAATTACTTTATCTGTTTTTTTCTTTCTTTCCTCATTGATTAGCACTGAGTGAAACTCAAATAAGTGGTTTTGAGAACAGATGGACAGTAATCTAGTCAACCTTGAAGCTTTGATGGTCTGGTTAGAATACAGGAAGAAGCTTCCTCAAGCATCTCTGAAGCTTAAAGGTCTAATTACACATGAAGTTTGATTACACAATTAGATTCTGTAAAAAGGTGTCAACTGCACTCCTCAGTCCAGATTGGGCATACCTAAACCACACCAAAGTGCTGTGCCTAAGCTCCAAGCTTCTTCCAGGCTTTTGGTGGTATATCAACGAAGGAAAACATCAAGCACAAAGGCCTAGGTACAGCATACAAGACGTGGGTGCTAGTGTGAATACCAGCAGATCATCAGAAGTCCTGGATCAGCTCCCCTGCTGGGGTGATAAAAGTGATGGCCTGAGGAACATTCTTCTTCCAAAGAAAGAAAACAAATGTTTTTGGTAATTCCCTCACTGAACTGAATAAATGAGTAAGAACTTGATGTCAGACAGAATTAATCAGCTGAATAAGTATCTAAGATCATCATCTAGCCTGAATGACTTGAGAAGGAACACTTAAATTTAGTGTTCAGATAAACACTGATTTCACTTTCCTGTTTTGATATGAGATAATTTTAAACCAGTATAATCTACAAACTTTAGCCAAATTACTTTCTACTTGAATGTAAGAGAAAAACCATGATTGTGTTGCCTCTGCAAGAACTTATATATTTAGACTTCAAGTTGGAATAGAATTTTAACAAATCAGAGAAACTTCCTGTCCTACCTGTCACAAATTCCCCATCATCTATTTTTTATGCACAAATTATTTCCATCTGAATGATATATCATAGATTTAACAATGGCAACAGGTACAGTCCTGAGGACTATAGGAATTGGAAGAAATCATAGGAATCACAGGAACTTGTGGAAGCCCTGTAGTTCTTTTGAATCACCTCTCAGAGGTTTCTCTGAGGAGAGATATCTCTCCATTTGCTTGGAGAAGTAGGACATTGCTAGTCTAAATCACCCGAGTTAACCTACTCTGTCATTTGACTCTAGTCCCTAGACATCACCCCTTTCCTTCTTTTTTTTCTTTCTATGAGAAAAGGTTTGACAGCATGGTTCAGTGGAAGTCTGAGGGAGCCATAGAAGAATTTACAGCAGACACTTCCAAAGGTGGGTAATTTTTTTCCACCTCTGCAAATGAACAACATCTAGTTAAAGCTAGCCCATCAAGCAGATGCAGGCATGAAGCAGGTTCTGAGAGAGGCATGTATTCAGAATTGCATCAAGTAGACATTTGCCAGTTCAAATCCTATTATCACAAATGTCAACCACTCCCTCACAAACACTTCATGATCCTTACATATTGTTTTGAGTCCTTTTCATTACCACTATCATCCAGTTTTGAGAAAAGCAATTTTGCATGTTTTGAATTCTCCAGTGTTTATAAAACAGCCATACTATACCTTAAAAGTATCTTCACTGCTGGGATTAAACAGCTGGTGTTTCCCAGATCCCAAAATAACAGGGCCGAAAGCTTTCTTTTCTCCATAAGCCATAAAGGGATACTGTTGCTGTTGTGCCAGCTGCTTCAAAATCCCCAGTGACAACAGTAATCTTGCAGTCTCCTTTCTGTAAAGTAAAAAATAAAATTAAAATGCTTTTATAACTGCTACTGATACATAGCAAGTTACTTCAAAGTTATAAGTAAAGGCAAACTTTAGCCCAGGTACCATAACTATGATGTACCCAAAAGGTAGTTGACACTGGTGGAGGCAACAGAAGATAGGCTAAATACTATATTTTCCAAACTCAGCTTAGGCAAGTGGTAAACTGTAAAGATTTAAGAGGTTTGCAGCATATTAAAGCTGGAATATGAACACAGAGTCTAGCAAGATATCCAGTGGTAACCTTGTGGGTCACGAGGGAGAAAGCCCAACTTCCTGAATTTAGATTATGACAACACATATAGCCAAGAAATACAACAGGAAAAAAATACCAAAACATTCCAAATACAATTTCCTCTCATTTTATGTTGTTGTGACATATCACCAAAGCCTTGTTTGCCTGGATGGAGGCATGGCATTTAGATTAACACAAAAAAAAAAAAAAATTTTTTTGAGAAAATTCTGACACTAAATGAGGACTCTTTAGAAAATCATTTTATATAAAGCTTTCCTAATCCTAAAATGTCATCTCTGCTCCCATACAATGCACGCAAGTTATTTAAATATCTGAAAGCAGATTAATATAAATCTTATTTTAAAAAATAACAATTCATAATTGTAAAATGTATTTCTACATCTGAATAGCTGGGATCATACGCTCTCCACCCCTCTTTTCATTGCAGCTACTGCCTGTAAGAAACAGGTTCTACTTAGAGACTTAACTTCATTCTGTGCAAGGCAAACAAAAAATTAAATACCAGCCCACAGAGAGGCACTTAGAAATAAATGCCACAGTGTACACTGCAATTTTATTAATAGAAGGCTGTCTGGTAGTACCTGCATGAATTAAATCTGTCTGATAAGTGTTTATCTTGGATCATTCCTATTATCCCTCAGTAATGTACCCCACAAATACTGAACTGAAGCAGGAAGTCTGAGTTCCTGTTTTCAAAATTTTTGAGGTTTGGGATGTGATAGATTTTTAAATGCACATAAATACACAGCTGGGAATTCAGAAAACAGCAACAGCTCCTTTGGTCTGATCAACCAGCAGGCAAGGGAGGTAGTTCTCCCCCTGTGGTCACTGGCGAGTCCCCACCTGGAGTAATTCATCCAGCTCTGGGGACTCCAGCACAGGAAAGACAACTTTTGTGTTGGAGCAGGTCCAGAGGAGAGACATGAAAATTATCAGAGAGCTGGAACACCTCTCCTGTGAAGAAAGGTTGGTTCAGCCTGGAAAAGAGAATGTTCCAGGGAGACTTTATTGCAGCCTTTTAACATATAAAAGGGGCTTATGAGAAATACAAAGACTTTTTACCAGGGCCTGTAGTAACAGGACAAGGGGGATTGGTTTTAAACTGAAAGAGGGTAGATTTAGATAAGGCATAAAGAAGACATTTTTTACAATAAGTGTGGTGAAACACAGGAATACATTACCCAGAGAAATTGTGGATGCCCCATCCCTGGGAGTGTTCGAGGCCACGTTGGATGGGGCTTTGAGCAACCAGGTCTAGTGGAAGGTTTCCCTGCCTATGGCAAAGGGGATGGAACTCAATGATCTTTAAAGACGTCTTCCAACTCAAACCACTCTATGATTCTACAAAGGAAGTGAACCATACAGTTTCCACTAAAAATTCTCAGACTCCTGCTTGTTACAAACTATTTTGTACCTTTGAAAATTTCCATCCTCACACATTTCTCTATAGACCTACTTTGTTAACAAAAAAACCCATAACATCAAGCTACAAAACATCAACATCAGTTAGAAGGGTAAAAAGCCTCCATACACTGAAGGTAGAAACAAAGAGCATAAGGCAGGGGCTTCTTGCCCAACAGAGGAGCTCAGTTACCAGAAAACTCAGCTTATTCTCTTTTCAAGCAAGGTAATATTAATTCCTTTAATACAAAGTTCCTTTGGATCATTTGGGTGGAAAACAAGGGCAATCTGATTTACAAGTCCTTATGAAGCATGGTGCAGAGAAAAAATTACCCACTGCTCCTAAAAATTCAAAAGTAATTCAGAAACAAATATTCATTTTAAAGCCAGCAAAATGTATTTTCTTTTGGACTTGTTCATTGCCTGATGTATTGTACCTCAAGTGTTTCTGGTAGTCTTTTCTATTCCACTGTCCTCTCTCTTTTGTTAAGCAGTGCAGTTTCTAAACAACACAGCTGGTACTCTCAAGACTGTGTATTCTAGCCAGCTCAACTCCTGCCTCCAAAGGATAAGTATTATTAATAAACTGTTTTACACAAAAGTACAACTCTCAAGGTAAAAAAGGGAATCAAACGTCCCTGAAAACACAAAAAAATTTTTAGTTCCTACTCCTCTACATTGACTGAGGTTTTTACAGTTTCTGGAAACAGACAGGATTTTGTATTTGAAGAAAAATGTGGGATAGGAGAAGAATCCTGAAATTTCTAATCTCGTTGATGCCAAAAATCCTCACTGCTTTCTTGCATACCTCTTCCAAATAGAAACTGGAAACAGTATTCTCATTCTCTTTGGCATAAAAAGCTGAGGTAGAACACCAAAAGTTCCTTAATGACTGAAGAGGAACACACACTGAGAAGAAAAGAACACAGAAAAATGTGTGATGAGGCAACTTTCATTTAGCATACATGGAAGAATGGCATGACATGACATCAGGTATGTACCCTACCACAGATTACTTTCTAGAAATTTTTTTCCATTTTTTTTTTCCTTTCTAAAATATTAAAATCAATAAACTAGAAAATTCTACTTCCCAGAAGAAGAAATGTTTCACACACACAGAGCAAGTGATTGATATAGTATGAAAACTAGATATCTAAAAAATCTGAGATCTTGTTCATATTTTTCCCATGAGATCAATTACTCATCCAGGAACGGGAGCAATCCCTGTAGCTGTGGGATACACAACTTTAAGTCTCTTTCTCACTGTTCTATACTTCAGCAAGTGTCCCAGACAAGAGGCTGTTTGATGTGTATGATTTTGGCTGCGTAACTTCGAGACGTTTAAAACAAATCCACCTTGCTTTTCCATGAAATAGGTCTGTTTTGACAGAGGGTAAGTTTTGGCATTGACAAAGTTGACCAGCTGTTCTGGACAGCACAAAGACATGTCTTTCACCGGGTCAGGATGAGAGTGTTGTGAACAAAATGGTCACTGCAAGACTAAGCCTATCTCCACTCCAGATAAGCCAGCTGGATGCACACTTTGATTGCTCAACTTCTGTTTGGTTTATGGGGAAATTTTTATCTGCTGCAAATTTTACTGTGCAGCCAGACAAGCACAACTTGAATGACACAGAGTAGAGATGCAGCTCAGCTCTAAGTGCAGAAAGAGTTAAGCAGACTGATTTGAACTATGTAAAGGAGGATCTCTAGGTGCAGGCCTTGTGAAAGCGGTGCATGCAGAACAGCTAAGTCACAAAGAGTGATGAACAGACAGAAAATGAAAGCTTTCTGAAAAAAGCACAGAAAGGAAGAAGGGTAAAGATAACTTGCAATTCAAAATAAAGCTTACAATAAAGTGGAATTTGAATATAATTTGCAAAATAACTGGGTACAAATGTTCTCAGTAACCACTTGCCATAGCGATGTTATTTAAAACAAGGCATTTGGGTCATAGTGGATATCTCGATTGATAGAATAAATTATGAATAAACATCTTTAAACTTTCTCCCAAGAGCTTCTAAATTATTGTTCATTCCACAACATGAAGTACTTCTCACAGCTGAAAAAAAAATGCTATGTGTTATTAAAAATGTAATTTAATCTGTGCTCGTTGCAAGGACAGAAAAGTCAAGCTGAACAAATATGAAATCACAGGTAAAAGAGAACGTTAAAAACTAATGGTGAGAACAAAACTATACATAGCCCATCAGAAAACATCACGGTTTATAAATGTTAACTGTAAAAAAAATGAAATTAAGATAGATCACCAATAAGTACTAGAAAATGAATTTTCAAACAAACAGAGAGAAAATTAACATTATGGAAAGAAAAATGAGAATAAAAAAAGGGTAAACAAAGTGATTTATTGTTTAAATTAAAATGTGAAGTTCATAGTTTACTAAAATGTTCAACTGGTGTGCTGTAATTAATGCTTTAAAATAAATACAAAAGGCAACAAATGTGTAAAGCAATTAGTCCTGAAACAGAAACAGTCTTCATTAAAGACAAAAGACTAGAGCAGTATTTACAATTTGCTGCTTCTTGCATTTGCTACTGTTGACTTATTTGAAATTCTGCCAAAAAAAAAAAAAAGCAGTTAATAAAGTATGTATCCCTTAATGTTAAAGAAAAGGTTTGAAAGAAGAAATGAAGAATACCCTCTGTGACTCTAGCCAATGCAGACAAGTTTTCCTTCTCATCAATTCCCTCATTGCTTACTATCACCTATACCCATTATAGAATGCAAACACAAAGTGTATTCTCTCAGAAATGTAACAAAGCCACAAAATGGTTAACGCTGATATTTAAAGTGTAAATCGAGCACAGATTTCTTCAGAGAAAAAATTACAAATTACTGATAATACTTCCATAAAGTTACATTAAACCTTATGTTGAGGGTACAGCTCAATTTCTGAATTAATTACACCTTGGGACACAAATGGAAGCCACAAGAAAGAAAATAAGAAATCAAGCAGAAATAAATATTTTCTCTACCATATTATCATCTAACTGAAGGATGCTCATCTTATTTTCATACTGAATAGATATAACAGCAAAGGATGTCCATCTTTAAAATCTTAATTTTTACTTCAACATCTGTCAAATCAAATACTATTTGAACCAACAAAGAATTATATTTGTGCAAGCGTAAGAGCTGTGTAAGTGCAAAATATACCTGTGTCAGAGACTCCATGGGACCTGATGAGGTGCATCACAGAGTACTGAAGAAACTGGTTGATGCAGTTGCTGAGCCACTCTCCATAATATTTGAGAAGTCATGGCAGTCAAGTGAAGTCCCTAGCAACTGGAAAAGGGGCAACATCGGGATCATCTTTAAAAAGGGTAAAAAGAAGATGCTGGGAACTAACGCCCTGTCAGCCTCACCTCTGTGCCTGGGAAGATCATGGAACAGATTCTCCTAGAAGACATGCTAAGGCACATGGAGGACAGGGAGGTAATCCTAGGTAGTCAGCCTGGATTTACTGGGGCAGGTCCTGCCTGACCAGCCTAGTGGCCTTCTACAATGAAGTGACTGCATCAGTCAACAAGGGAAGACCTATGGATGTCGTCTATCTGGACTTGTGCAAGGCCTTTGACACAGGCCCCCACAACATCCTAATCTCTAAATTGGGGAATTATGGATTTCGTGGGTGGACTGTTCAGTGGATAAAGAAATGGCTGGGATGGCAAATCCAGAGAGTGATGGGGGATGGTGATGAGTGGTGTCCCTCAGGGGTAAACCAGTGTTGTTTAATATCTTCATTAATGCTATTGACGAAGTCATTGAGTGCACCCTCAGCAAGGCTGCAGGTGATACCAATCTGGGAGGTGAAGTTGACATGCCAGAGGGACAGGATGCCATCCAGAGAGACCTGGACAGGCTGGAGAGGTAGCCCAGATGAACCTTACGAGGTTCAACAAGGCCAAGTGCAGGGTTCCTGCACCTGGGCTGGGGTAACCAGCACTATCACAACAGGCTGGGAGAGGATATACTGGAGAGCAGTCCTGTGGAAAGGGATTTAGGAGTGCTGGTGGATGAAACACTGGACATGAGCCACCAATGTGCCATCTCAGCCCAGAAGGCAAATCACATCCTGGGCAGCATAGAAAGAACTGTGGCCAGTAGATCAAGAGAGGTGATTCTGCCCCTCTGCTCTGCCCTGGTGAGACCTCACCTGGAGTACTGCAAGTTCTGCAGGTTCATACCCTGGATCATAAAATACAACGTAAAATAAAGCTGTAGAGGCTGCAGGTCAATAAATTAGAGAGATTTCTGAAGAGCAAAAAATTAGGAATGAAAAAATAATCATTGTTTCTTCTTGACATTGTCTGTCACTGAATAATTCTTGCTGATCAACATCTGGTAGTAATGATCACAGAATTCATGGAGCAAAGTGCCCTGACATGTGTTGCCCTCAAGCCATGTTACCCACTGGAGGACAGCTATGACACAGGGTTGATTTTTCATGACTGAGATAGGCAGCTGGCCCAATTTCTCTGTAGAAATTCCGTTAGGAAATTTTAGCTATATTTGTTTAGAAAGGTAGCAACCACAGCTAGCATCAACAGCTGGTCTGCATCCAAATCTACTACAGAGGAATCCTCAGTCTTACACTGCTACTTAAGAACATTACTGATTGAAGAAAGATTTCAGTTTTAGAGTTAGATCATAATGACAGAGCAACTTCTTTCCTGGTTTTGAGAATGTGATACCAAGAGTTACAAGAAGCTGTTCAAGGTATGTAATAAATTCATTGAAAAAAGGATGAAATAATTAGGCATCCTTCATTCGTTAAATATTAAGTACTGTTAAATGTTATTAGTTAGACATTATTAATTCTGGTGCTTTGTCACATGGTCACATTGTTTCTCTACACTTCCTTCATTTCACTCAAATAACACATACACCCACAAGATAGACTGGACTACATTAGTATTTTTATTGCACTACCATAATCTTAGTCCAATTTATACTACTGGACTATCATAATATTTTTCAAGACATGTAAAACTCACTATTTATCAATTGACTTTTAAGATGCCAGTTTCATAACTCAGATGCAACAACCACAGGCATCACATTTGTCTCTCTAGTACTACTTTTCATAAAGAGAGTGAATGCTACTTCTGGATGGCAAATCTCTTTTCTTTCCCATTTAGAAATGTACTTAATTTACACCCTTTCTGTGTACTTTATCTTTCCTTCCTGAATAGGTAGGTCACACTTGTAGCACTGATCCTTGTATAGTAAGACTGCACCATACAGTCTAGTAACAGAGCCACAATACAAGCATTTAACCTTTGCTATGGACTATACAGCATATAAACATGAGCAATCTGTTCCACAACAACACATTCTGTGTATTTTATGAAGCTAAAAAATAATTTAAATTTGTCTTTCCCTGGAAAATTCATGTTTAGTACACTGATTTGCACAGTACTGTTGGTGATACATATATAAGAATATTTAAGAATATTGCTGTAGAAACTACCTTTCACAATTGAAAACAAATTCCGAGTTGTCCTCAGCTTCTCTGACAATGACTTTATCACAGAACCAATACTGGGACTTGGCATTAGCCTCACAGTGCAACAGCACCTTCTGCAGTTTTCCAAGAGAGACAGCTTCCATTCCAAACACATCGACCTAGCAGACTGAGGAGATGGCATTCCACAATTTGTCACCACTAAGTCAGTCTGAAAGGTGAAGCGGTTTAAAAACCTGATGAACTCTCACAATATACAAAGACTGCTGTTTTTAATGACAGCTGGACTATGTTCAAAGTGCTTGGATCTGAAAAGCTAAACATTTTTATATTATGTATCAGAGTAAATGAGAAAACGCAACGAATCAGACTGTAGGAATAATCCCAGATAAATTGAGCTTTCAGCCATTGCCCAAAAGGCAGCACACAACCTTCACTACTGTTTCAATGCCTCATCATTTACAAGTGTACTTTTCTAGGTATGAATGAATTAAAGCTATTATTTCCTCTGTTGCTCTTTATTTAAAATACAGGTTCTCTCATCCCTTTCTCTTTTTGGTCTCATCTCCTCAGTTTCCATTTTATTCTGCTGGAGGAGACGGAAATCTGACATGCCACTTTCCCCTTGTCATGCGTGTAGGCTTGAGCTTACAGTTGGTGAAGTTTGTTGTCATAGGAGCATGAAGCTTACCAGGTGAAAGGTTCAGACTGGTGATTTTCTGTCATGGTAAAAAGCATATAGCTTTCTCTCTCTAAATGTAACGGTTCATGTCACTCTCCTCAGTAAAAGGAAAATGAAGGAAAGGGCTACACTGGAAAATTCATATCTGTAAAGTTCTCAGTCCTTAGTAAATGGCAGAATTTAGACTGCCCGTGCAACTTCAGTTCTCCCTTGTGTATATATACGATCCTTCTGTAATGTATGATCACAAGCTATTTCCTCTGAAGGATCCAGCCTCAAATTATGCACAGACAGGACTTCAGCTTTTTAATACTTCTTTTTATCTTCATTATTTTGATGACTCTGCATTATTTATTGCAACCACCCAAACAGTTGAGCGAAGCAGAACTGATTTCCCCAGTGACTTCAATTTTCCATAATGCCCAAGGTTTCTGAAAATGATGAAATCTATTTCTTGAAAGGTCATCTGCATAATATTTCATTCTACCTATATAGTTAAAGTGTAGAGGTTATTGCCAAAAACTGTCAAGATGCAAAGTTGCTTGGGTGCTCAACTGAGAAGCAGAGGGATTAATTTATCAACATATTAAGCATTTGAAAGAGCTTCCTATGTCCAAAGCAGAATTTTCTTTGAACAAACCTCAGTTACAGCTGTGGTTGCTCAAAACAGTTAAACATTACACAACAAAACAGAGTGTACAAGGTGTGGTCACTCAGGGAAGCTTTATTTTAAATGATTTGCCCAATATCAGGTAGCATCTGTGGCAGGGTTTAAATCAATGTGTTCAAGTCAGCACCCAACTGCCTGTGCTATAAAATATTGCAGGCCCTGCTCTGCTGCTCTCTACAAGCCATTGTCTTGTCCACCTATTTCCATAACAAAGTGCACTTTGAGCCACCCCCTTAGCCCTCGCGTAAACAATATGCTGAACTTAGTCTGACTAGAATAATTCCCCCAGAAAGCTCCATGCAAATTCTGAATTTCAGTTGGAATAGGATTATATATCTAATACATTTGTAATGGTAAAATACGTATTTGAAATAGTATAAATATATCTGAAGTTTCCCAGTGGATTATTTCTACACTTAGTATTTTAGATACTGCTTTTTATTTTGTAATTAAGTATTCCATTAACATCTTGATACCATTTGTTAGATATACAAGTGTTAACTCTCAATAGCTCACAAAGAAAGAACCAAGCTTAACAGAAGGTCATAAGAATGCTCATGGCAGAGTTAAAATGAAATTCAGTAGCTCCTTCCATACGTTACCGCAGAAAATCAGGATGATATATGTTTTACTTATGGAGGAGATTGGAGGCAATTGAAAGAAAAATTAATTTAAATCTGCCCTGCATTAATCACAATTTTATACTATTTTACACGAAAAGAAATGCGTAACGAAGAATCCTACTAAGATCTGAAATCATTGAACTATTTCTGTGCAGTCCTTTGGCATCAGCTGCACTTATTAAACCTTGATAGAATGTTTCATATTCACAGATAGCTCTTCATCATCCATCCTTCCCCTTTTCCTATGTGTATTTTCACTCATTCTAATTATTACTGGATTAATTTAAAAATATCTTGCTTTATTGTTAAAAAATATTTTTTCCTAAATCTGTGATTTTTTTCATTAGCAATCTGCTAAGACCAGTAAAAGTTACTTAGCTACATTTATATGACTAAAGAATTGTTTTTCAGACTTACCATCCCGCTCTGAAATACCACAGGTATACCAGATTTGTGCAGAAGTCTTAGACTGGAATCTCCTCTTTTTCCATAGATAACACAGATAAACTGCAGAATCTGTATCAGCTTGTTCCACATCACCAGTGTAGACATGAACATGGTATAGAAGAACTTTGAAAATAACTAGAAGAAAACGCATCTATAATCGCAATTCATTTTACTCACTGCTCTAGCTTAATAGAAACAGTGCCAGCAAATTTTATTTGCAATTAATTTGCTGGAATATATTACCCAGAAATAAATTTGTTTTTAAGATTGCTAAGACCACACATATTCTAGTTGCTGTATAATCATAAAATTCAGAATACATCAATACTGGTAGTTAGGTAACCAATACACATGTAACTGTGAAATTGAAGTACACACATACTTGGATAGATAGGTTTTCCAGACTCCACTAGTGGAAGCTCACAGAGAAAAATCTCTGCCATCACAATTTTTTGACAACCACGTGTTTGTTGGAAAATCCAGTGTTTTCTTGCTCTTTAGATGTTGCAGTGTCACCTAGAGAAGGAGCAATTCCAACTATGACTCAGTTC